TTGCTTAATAAAAATAAGTATTTGGCCCAGTTACTGGGGTAATATATCTAGTGTCAAGCCTATTTGCAATTATATATGTGCCTTTAAGTCTGCCTTAACAAAATTAACTGTGCTACATATTAAGCCAAACTGACTACAGCATCTGCAGTAATCTAAGACTGACCACAAAAATCAGATGCTTGTCCAAACCATATTATCAATATGAAATGTCCTAGTAGCCTACCAGTACTAGAACTTAGCATTACTTTTTCTTGCAGTTATACTTTTCCTGATAGGCCTTTGTGTTTGACCATGTTGTTCCTGTGGTTTATTACTTGAATCATTAAATTGTCACATGAGTTATGTTGTTTAACATAGCATGGGATTTTGAGCAGATACAACAGCCTGGAATATTTCCATTGGTTCTTAGATAGTTGGGGAAAACATGTGGGAAAAGGCCCATATTCTAACTTGAATAATGTACTTAGAAGAGGTTAAAAGTTAATGGGAAAAACTTCGACCTCATTTGTCATATTCTATATTGAAATAAGAATGGTGCTTAGAAGTGTATGTTGAAATTACAAGCTGAAACAAAGTTTATCCTTAAAACCTAAAGACATCTTTATTTGTTCTCCCCAAAATATACAATATCTGCCAAGACATTCAGGCCGATTTGAAAATATACAACATTAGCTATGCACATTCTTAAGCATACTGTTCTAGTGACATTTACCAGTGTTCAGTAATTGGTTTAATGAACAGGTGTACAAGTATATCAGCTATGCAGATGTTAATTCAAAGTAACATGTGCTTCCTGATCTGGAGGGGGGCGTTCTTGTATAAACTATAACTAGTAAGATTTGTTTCTTAATTAGGAAATCATTACAAAGTATATGTGTTTGGTGTGTGTGTGTGATTCATACCATTAGGACTATTAGTCTTGTTTAATGTGCACTGAACTTCAGGAACTCTCTTGATAATGCCACTCCTATTGCTTTCAGGTGTCAGGGTAAAATCTACTTTTCTGTAGGATGCTTTACTTTGCAGCTGTAGGCATCAGGGAAAGGGGAAACCTTGCAGCTGTCCTATGTAGCATGAATGAGAAAACAGAAATGCAATTTCCTTCTGCCCATTGCATCAGCTTTACCTTTCAAGATTTTGTAAACAAGTTTGCTATTCTATACAAAGACAAGTAAGCACAATTGAATAGTTTGCTGCTTGCCAGACTGAGTAAACTTTACCTATATTTAAAAGATTGTCTTCTTACCTATTGTTGATTGTGATTCCTCCAATTGTTCCTGATTTGTAAGGCTATCAGTTTATAAACTCCAAAAGGAGATTGGAACTTTTATATGCTTTAGTCTGGATTTTTATTTCTGTTTGAAAGAGTAGAAACTTACAAACACTAATATATCAAGCCATAGAAGTACCACCTAGAAGGACCAGATGATACCTTAAGAACTTTGCACCAACTGATTAATGGTCTTGTAAATGTATACCATTGAGTCCACCTTTAGGAAAGTATCTTATGGGAATTTTGTGATATTCTAAAAAATTAACAATAATTTTAAGATTTTGTGTCACCATGTAAGTTATCAAAGGTTACCCACTTAAGGTATCTTAAGACATCCTATAATTATAAACAGCTTGGTCAAATGTTTTGTACATTCACTGGGGTCACAGAAATTAAAGAGTATTTCTAAATATTGCTTGTAGTAGATTGTAGAAACTTATATTCATATTTACTTTATTTATAATGATGATCATCCTTTGTTTGTAAGAGGATAAATTTATAATGCAATTTCATGTAAATACCCAAACATTAAAAGAAATGCAAGAAGATTCGTTGGCTATTTTATAAAAGCTAACTAGTATCTTGGTGGCTAGCATACCTTTTACACTAATACAAATATCTTTATCATATGAACCATTATCTTCTTACAGACAGTATTTTATACTGTTTCATATTTATTTTGATTAATAATGCCAATTTAAGCTCTAAAATTAATTTAGCCCAGTGGATTGTAAGTCTCACAACCAGTATAACTTTTTCTGTGCAAGGGAGTGAGTCATATTTGACTCTAAACCTGAAAACATTAAGGCAACTGCTGCTAACCCAATTCTTCTATTCGTGACTCCTACATTTGTTCCTTGTGATTTCCAAGTTTATAAACTGTTGAAATATATTGGAAATTTTATATGATTTAACCTGGATCTTATTTCTATATTGAAAGAGTAGAACATTACAAAGCCACAGAGCTACCACCTAGAATGAACACATGCCACCTTGGGACCTCTGCTGGGACTACTGGATAAGAAATGAAAGAATTTTTGTATTGGAACAAAAATAGCTCTTCAATCTTATCCTAATAATTTTAAATGATTACAGGCCTGGTTTAATTAATTGTTAAAATTTTGTATGCATTAGAAACATGGCACTTAAATTGGTTTAAGAAAAGTGGCATTCGGAGATCACTAGAAGAATTTTTAATATATTAAAGGCTTTAATAATTCTGTTCTGGACATGTGCTGTCTCATCACTATTGTTCGAATTCTCTATCTGAGCCTCTAGTGTTGATCCTTAAACAATAGTACATTAAAAATAAATAAATAAATACAACTGGGGCCAGAACAAAAATAGCCATTGTTTTTGAAAACCTACCGAGTTTGGGAACTATTTTCAACTTGCTGCTCTGCTTTGATTCTTAAAACTGCAGTTCTCACTGATGGAATGCTTAGTGCTTTCTAAACTCAGGGTGTTAGACAAGTTCCATAACACAAGTAAAATAGACTACAATTATGAAGGAAACTATGAGATATAGATATGTATGCTATTTAATTTTAATGTTGAAAATTTTGTTCATTTGAAAATCAAAGAGTTCATACTAGATTTTAATGAAAAATAATATCTAAAGTAGTGGTTCTCAAACTTCCTAATGCTGTGATACTTTATTACAATTCCTCCTCCTGCGGTGACCCCCAACCATGAAATTATTTTTGTTGCTACTTCATAACTCTAATTAATTTTGTTACTGTTAAGAATTGTAGGGTAAAAATCTGATATGCAGGGTATCTGATATGTGACCACCCAAAGGGGTGGTGACTCACACAGGTTGAGAACCAGTGAGCTAACATATGTAAAGGGGCACTAAAGAGTATTCTGTTCACCTGTCAAACAGGAGCCCGTTACTTTATAAATAAAATAATAATCCCACATCCTTGTCTTACAGAATTTCATCCTGTGTGTTCCTGTTTAATTAGTTTTTTGTAGCAGAGTTTAAGGCCTATTGAAGTTAGGAATGCTTTCTTGACTACTTCTTTGATTGTGTTAAAAATTCTGAATCTACTTCCAGAGGTAGTTTTTATATAATTTAAATTCTCTTTATTGACATCAGAAATAGCTATTGAACTGTCATTTCTTTCTTTATGCAGTTGTCTTCAGCTGAGAACAGCTTAAAATTAGAATAAATTGAAATGTTGACTAAGTGCATAAGAAAGACACTGTACTCTCAGAAAGATCCTTTAGGAACTTTTATGATGGCTTTTAAAGAAATATACTACAAGTCATTTTTCTTTCACCAATACTAATAATTGTGTTTTGGCAACATTGCAAAGAACTTGACACCTGTCACAAAATTCATAATTTCAAGGGAATTATTATCTAGTCTCATTATTCTGTGTCTATCCTTATACTGATCATTCTACTAAACCATAGAACATTTAATATTGTGTTCCATAGTTAATTTATTTCATGCGTAACTTGTCTGCTAAGGTAACAGAACTTGTATATGTTACACCATTAATGCTAAGGGAATCTAAGGATTGATAATATTTTTGACACATCCTTTGGAATTGCTTAAGTGTCACAGAGGCTGATATCTTTCCTTAAAAGATATACTTATTGAGTGTCACTTTTTTTGCTATTAAAGGACATAACGTATGCGCCAACTCTTTAGGCAAGATTAAATGAGTCAAAATAATAAAAATCATCATCACCTCAAAATGAAATTTATGTTTGCCAAAGGGGGGAAAACAATATGATGATCATAATTGTAAAAGTCAGGGATGAAATTTAGCAGCATGGATTTGGGCACAAGAAAGCCCTTGATTGAAAAATTAAGTTGGTGTTGCTTGTCTAAGATGATTTAGTGGTCCCATTGCCTTCAGCCTTGTATTCATCACGGAAGAGGTAAACCAACAGAACTTGAGCACAACTGCTGAAGAGTTTCTATGCAGATGGGACTGGGGAACTTCACTTCATGCTTCATTTTCTTAGCAGATAGCCACAGGCTTTGACACTAGTGTCTTTGAAGGGTGAATAGCATCTAATGCCTCCTTGATGCTGCACTCCTTGTTTCATTTCTTACAAACATATGAAGAAACAGTGAATAATAATGTTTCAAGAATACTTTTTAAAATGGTAACTAGGACAAAATTCTCATACTCAAAGTATCACTTCTTTGATGATATGTAATTGTGTGCATGCAAATGGGTGGTACTCTTGTACAACATACAAATGCTTCAAACCTGTTCTTCAAAGCAGTCTCAGTGGGGTGTTTCAGTTACAACCTGTTTAGCATCTTAAGTTTCCTTTAGTGTTTTAAAGCAGTTTAACTGAGTTAACTACATGTCTAAATATTAACATGTTTTAAGAGAGGAGGCAGGTCTTTCTCTTTCCTCAATTAGTCCAAATTAGTGAGATTTTACTACATATTTAATCCCAGTGCTGCTGCAGTTACCTGTAAAGGAGTAATTTATGTTACACATTAGCGAAGAAGCAGCAATTGATTTTTAGTTCTATTTGGCTTATCTTTTCAGCTTAAGTGATGATATTTAATTTTTAGGCAAACCTCTCAGCAGGTCTATATTTTTATGTTTATCCTCTTCCCTCCGCTAATGAAATAAACACATTTATTGATTTCAGAATCACCTTTATTAATGTACTTAACATGCCTACTAATGTTATTTCATGTACTTGGATTAGAGCCATTATTGTTTATGGATCAACATTTTTCTTTCAGGCCAAAGGACTATAGATCGTCCAGAAGAAACTAAGAGTGGGCCTCCAAAGAGGAAAGTGAAGGAACTGAGAATTTTGGATCCCAAAACAGCCCAGAACCTGTGTATGTAGTATGTTTTGAATAGATGTGTTAGTGCTGGCTTATTCAGTGTAAACAGTCTTAAAACTTCTTTGTCCAGACATACTGCTAGAAACAAGATTCTATATAAACCTCCTACTGGGTCACTTTGTCCAGCTTTCATACAAGAAGAGGTGCTTAGTTTTACTGCAACTTGATATGGCATGTTTGATTGATATTCCTGGGAGGCCTGACCTTTTCTAAAGGTAAATTGAGGAAGAGTGGATCTGGGTGAGAGGGGGCTAGTGGGGCACAACTGTCAGGAGGTCAGTGAGGGAAAACTGTGGTCATGATGTAGTATATGAGAAGAGATTGATAAAGAGAGAGAACCTATATAAATATAATCCAGTTTTCTTTTTACCACTTAACTGAAATGAAGAAAATAAAAATTGAACCTTGTTTAACTTACTGAAACCTGTGATTTTTAGAGCTTTGGAAAGTATTGTTAATAAAACTTCCATACTGAACATTATGAAACCTAATATAAATTGGAATTGAAAAAATATTAAGTTTTTATGATTATTTTCCTGATGAGTACTGAGATTCATATTTTTTAGAAATATTCCCTACTCAGTGTGAACATGTCCTTTTATTGCTATTCCTTTGTTTAGTATAATTGTAATGCGTTATGGTTAAATTGTTAGCATCTACACTTTGCAACTGGTTGATGATCCTTGAGGCCTTTAGCTAAGTAAGGTCTGAGCCATTAAATGTGGTGTTGGTAGTGTAGATGGATAGTTAAATTCATGTCCTTTTATGGAAGGCTCTAAGTTTTACTTTGACATACTCTCTCTTCTACATTGGATTTTGATTATTTTCTTTTATCACTACAGAAGGTTTTTTATATAGAGGATACTAAAACACTCTCTGAGGAGTTTTAACACACCCTACATTCATAATTGTGCAATAGTAATGTGGGAATTATTTGAGAATTAGATTACAGCAAACAACTTATTATACTGGTGTCAGTCAAAATGCAACTTAAAAATTTGCCAATAGCTATCAACAATCTGTGCATTGCTGCAATGATAGTATTGTATTCACAAAGTTTCCGTAACTTTTTTTCAGTACATAGTGTGATCTTATTTTCTTGTTAATATATATGCATGAGATATATTTCAGGTCTTGAGTTCTCATTCAGTCCCCATGTTGAGGTAACCATTTGCCAAAATGGTAATTGTTTTGGTACCAGTGCAGTCATGCAGAGCATTTCATAAAAATTCATTAATATGTGAGTTCAGGTTCTACTTCTAAAAGCATACCCATATTTTTTAAAAGTGGATTTAATGGAGAATGGTATGGAATGTGTTATATAAAAGTACTGTCTGTGTAATTGCAAGCTATTCTAGATAAAATGAGTTGAATTATCCCAACATGACATAAAATATATCCAATGAAATAAAGGTTGACAGGAAAATAATTCAGTATATGAAGAGACTAGTAGTTCACTACCTGAGTGTCAGCAGGAATTCAGAGTACATTGATGAGTCATGAACTTCAGCTCTTCTCTTGCAAAGTTCAATAGTATCCTACCATATTTGTGTGGGATCCATTCCAAAACTTCTTGTGGATGACTGAAACCACAAGAAGTACTTAACCCACTCACCGACCCTTTCTCCCCCTCCCTCCCTCCCTCCCTCCCTCCCTCTCTCTCTACCTCCCTATGTATATATATGCCTGTGCTGAAGTATTTTATAAATTAATCAGAGTCATATCTTAACAATAATAACGTAATTATAACAACATCCCAGAAGAAAACTTACATGAATATGGTGTAGTCACTTTTCCCTAGGAATGTCTCATTGTACCTGAATCACTATTCCTATACAATATGAAATGATATGTTCAAAAAACTGCTCCTGAGAACTTGGTACATTCAAGTGGGCTTCTTAAGTACTCCAATGCTTTTTGGGTCATTGTTAAAAATTGTGTAGGTTGCTTTAAAGTAAGCAATGTCATATGTTCACAGCCAATCTGATAACTCCAAAGGCTACTGTTTTCATAAACTTTTAGTCATTGTCAAAAAATACTAGAGTATTTCAACTAAAAGAGAAACATTTTATTTTAGCTCATTGTTTTACAAATTTTAGTCCATGGCTGGTTCTTTTTTTGTTTTTGGCCTCAAGACAAAGCAACAAAGTATCAGGGTGGATCAAAGCTACTCACCTTATAGTGGTCAAGGTGCAGAGACCATCAGAGGGAAAGTTTGGGGCAGTATAGTGATTCAGATCATGCCCCCAGCAAGTGGAGTCTTTGAATCCAGAGTCATCTTCTAATAGTATATTCAGCAATATATACAAAGTATCAACAGTAAATTCAACTTGAAGTCCACAATTGACTAGTCACTTTTCTGAAGCTACATGTCTGAAATTTATATTGGAGAGCAAGCAGTTTGCGTTATAGTTTTTTGCAGAAGCATATTGTATCATAGCCACAATAGCCACAAGATGATTAACAAACAAGTACCGTGTGTTTCTCAGATGTACTGTTTCATGAGACATAGGAGACAACTTGGCATGCCAGACTTTCTTGACTCCCCAATGGAGGCCTTATCCCCTCTGAGGCCCTCCATGGTGGATTTCCAGAGCCTGTAATTTCATCCAGGGCAGGGCCTAAGCCCTCCCACAAGAGTCTCAGCTGAGAGAGCATCCCTCATTGTGGGATGGACACTCAAAATCTATTTGTACACCAGGCATAAATACTACCCAAGGCCTCATAGATTACCTAGGCCTCCTCACTGACACCCACATTCAGAGGGTCTGGGTCAGTCCCATGCTTTCCACATAGCCATCAATCTGGGGTCCAAGAGCTCCCCCTTGTTCAGGTCAACTGACTCTGTGGGTTAAACCAGCCCAGTCTTAACTCCTTTGCTCACCAGTTCTCCTTTTCTGTGACTGGATTCCAGGAATTCAGTTCAGTGTTTAGCTGTGAATGTCAATTTAAACTAATCATATTTTTATTTTAAATTTTAGTGTGTCATTTTGTATCAGCTTAATATAAAATGCCTGAGCATAGCGTCGTGAGAGATCTACATAGAATTTTATTTTGTACATATGGTAATTAAGCTACAGACGCTGTAGGTTATTTTGCCTATATGGATAGAATAGTGCATCAAATACTAATAATCTAAATTTTAGTATGTAAGTGACAAAAATTTCATATTTTTATCTATACAGTGGTAATTTTATACATACACATATATATGTATATATATACCGACTTTTAAATTTTGATACTATTCTGTCTCTAATAATATCAAATTTTATTTTAGCTATCTTCCTGGGATCTTATCGCATGTCATATGAGGAAATAAAGAACATTATTTTGGAGGTTAATGAACAGTTGCTAAGTGAAGCCCTGATTCAGGTATATTGCATACTTCTGGTTTTAAAATAATTTTCATAGAAATTTTAGATGTATCTCTTAATGGTTTTATTTAAAATAAGTTTCTTACTTTGGATAATAGAATATGTAGTGTCTATATCTGTTTATTCCTGAGATGACTTGGTCTTTAAGATCCATGTTCCAATTTTCTTTCTTCCATGCCTGAACTACTGTTCTTTTAAGAATAAAAGTGCATTCATAGATATGTCATTCTTTGTACATCACACAACTGCATGTATGTGATCATTATAATGGGGCCATTAAATAGTTCTTTTATTGCCATATTATGGTTAAAATGCTGAATGTTCTAAAGTTTTCATTTCTATGGATTTTTCTCAGGATCCACACATAAATGTGGCAGACTATTCTTTCATTGGGTACTTAACCTGTGCTGGATATTGTGTCAAGCAATAGATGTTTATCATCTCATTGAATCTTACAACGTCTGAAGAGATAAATATTAGTGATAGTGTACTCTCTTTACCAATATAGAATCTGAATTTTACATTATTCAGTATTAGACATTTGAAGTAGCTTCAGAACAGTATCTAAAGAGGCTGCGAATGTAGCTCAGTTGGCAGGGTGTTTGCCTTCCCTTCTTGCTGTTCTGGCCTCCATTCCCAGCGCTGTGCAAACCATGGTTACTCATTGTTGTAATCTGAGCGCTTAGGAGGAGAAATGAAGAGTAGGAGGTCAAGGCCATCCTTGACTGTATAGCAAGTTCAAGGATAGCATAGTATATACATGTGAGGCCCTATTTGAAAAAGGAAAGAGAAAACAACTAATTTATTTTATGTAACTTTAACAATTTATTTCCCCATACTCTCTGTAAATATTAGCGAACCTGTATAAATGACACAAGAAAGTCACATTTCTGTGCATGGTTTTTGTCTGCATCACAGTTTACCACATGCATATTTTAAATCCGGACATGCTTATTTACAATAAGATTAAGGCTTGATGGGTTTATACTGACTTTTTGATATCATAATAGACATTTATGTATCAATGTGACATGTTCACAAAAATCCTCTTGTAGGTAAACAGCATTAACAAGGTTTGCTTTATTATTTTTAAACTGTCGCAGGCAACAATCATGTTCATTGTTCCTTGACTTGAAATGTGGTGCTGATCCCATACACACAAACACACACACACACACACACACACACACACACACACACAGAGAGAGAGAGAGAGAGAGAGAGAGAGAGAGAGAGAAAGTTAATAATAATAATTTAGCAAATATGCTGTAAAAATAAGGAAGTTGTGAAAAAAAGGAAGGTATGCCTTGCTGGGCTGTGGTGGTGCACGCCTTTAATCCGAGCTCTCGGGAGGCAGAGGCAGGTGGATCTCTGTGAGTTCGAGACCATCCTGGTCTACAGAGCGAGTTCTAGAACAGCCTCCCAAACCACAGAGAAATCCTGTCTTGAAAAACAGCAACAACAACAAAAGGAAGGTACAAAGTAGATGAAACCCAGAAGGAAAATATTGTCAGTCACTTTGATGTTTGAAAAAGAAAGTTTAAGGCTCAGCAGCATGTATCGAGGTGTCAAGCAAAAGAAGCAGTGAGACTGGTCAAAGTCAACCTTCACACAGCAGGTAGGGAGCTTCTGAAGCACCAAGTTGCCAAGCAGGATTTAAATTTGTTTGAGTATTTCACAATCCCCAGAATGCAAAGTAAGATTTAATGTCACAATTTTAAATGCAGCTGTATTTTGTGTAGACCAGAACAAATTAGGGAATTTAATAATCATCTTTGTAAGTTGCTACTGTATCAAAACTGTAAGCAGTTCATTACTCCCAATTATACCAGATTCAAATAATTTAAAGAATATCAAAGGTACATTGTACATACTATAAAATAATTGTAGCAAAGGCATTCCATATTTTCTATATACATACTTTGAAATATAGTTTCATATAGGGGATGTGCATAAATGGGAATTTTTCTGTCTTTTATTCTCTAAAGGACTTAAAGATCTGATTTTAAAAATAATAATGTTTTTTAAAAATTATACTTGCTGGAAATTCAACACCTTGATGCCTCATATTTGCACTAGTTTTTCACTTACCAAGGTATTTAGGTGAAATTGTGTAATGTAATAAAAAGTTTGGCTACATTGATTGACTCTCCAAACTATGATCCTATCCTCTTACAATTTCAATACATAGGAAAGATTAAACAGTTTTCATTCTTGGGGTTTCACAAGTTTACCTACCTTGCATTGTCATGTTTTAAAACAGAATTCTACAATCAAAGAAAAGAAGAATAACTAAGTCACATTTAGTTTTGTGCCTTGTTCTTTTCAATTGTCGTACAAATAATCCTAGGACAGTTTAGGTCAATGCAGGTGCCTCTGGATGCCAAAAGCATCGGATTCTCCCAGGAGTTGGTGTTACAGACAACTATAAACTACCTTGAGAGCTGAGCTCAGATCCTCTCTGAGAACAGCACATTCTCTCAACCTCTGACCCATCTCTCCAGTCTCAGTCTTCTGGGTTGTTATGGCTTCTATTTGATAAGACTCTGTTGAAAATCCACGTTACTTATTGTGCACTAGAAAAACTTGTTTCATTGCCTATCCTGGTCAATCCAAATTGATTCTCTCATTTGTACTTCACAAAATAAAGTAACATAGATTTAAGATGTATGATTGAGTGAGACACGAATACAAGAAAACCTGAGATTTTAAGGTTAATATTAGTTTTACCTGGATGTGTCTTGTCTGAAGATATTCTAGTAAGGAAGGATGCTCCTCTGGTGAAATGATTGTACATTTCCTGCTCCACCCAAACATTGCTTTCCTCATGCAGAAAAGACTAGCATCATTAAGACCTCTTTCTCACTCCAAACTGATAGGTTTCCTTCGATGATAAAAAGGTAGCATCAACTTGCCATTAATATGAGGTGTTTACCATTTATGCCTAATTACCATGTAGCACATCAGTAATACACAGCATTAAATATATATCATGAGATTAACTTTGTTGTAAATTCCATTTGATTACAGTGCTAAACTCCATCCATGCATAATCACAGTTTGTTGCTCATGAACATTGTTTTCTTCTCATAGCAACAACAAAAAAATTAAGGACACATCATTTCCAAGGAACTTGAATTAACACTGGTGTTACGTCTCCTAGAATGAGTCAGTAAAATCTTCCTCACTAGACAGATAAAAGGCCATTCTTATTTGGCAGGATAAGCAGCCTACTTAAAAAAACTAATTTAATTTAGTCAACATGATAAAGATCAAATGTTGAAGTAATTAACAAAATACAAATCCTCCATATTTTCATATGTCCTACATATTTCCATATATCAAAATATAAAGAAGACATTAAATTCACTGTGCAGTAGAAACTGAAATGTTTTGCAATGCTATAACATATAGAAACATTTTAGCATCTACTATATTTTCAGATTGTTCAGGGACATTTATTATATGTAATTATAAGTCTCTTTTGAGTAATATGTAATAGATTTAGATGATTTGTAGCATCACTGTTCCTGCGTTGAAATTTTAAGTTAGTGTACTTTAACTTGATCACCTGAGACAAGGAAAAAAGAAAAAACACACACATAGTGACAAGACTAGAGTTTAATGGGCTATATGTCATTAACAAAAAAGTGTATGGTAGACAATGATATAGAACTAACAAAGAATACAACTATCAGTTTAAAAAATCAAACTTTCAGAGAAAAACTAAAGTATGCTTTATTTGAGATCACTAATGCTTGTGAATAATGTAAATGCGATAAAATATATTGATAGACAAATCATGCTTATATGTCAAGGCATACATGAAATAAATAAGATTTACATAGAAGGTGGCATAGAGTGAAGAAAAGTTTTCAAAGGTATATTAGTTCAGTGTAGTTGGAAAGGATTCAGCAGGTTTTGAACATGGAAGTATGAAATGGTTCATCTTTTAATATTGTTCTAATTAATATTTTGCATTTCATTTAATAAAATTATCTATTTATGGATGAATGATGTTAAATCAGACTAAACACATATCTTTAACTTTTTCATGTGATTATAACTAAAACTTTCAAAATTTCTCCTTGTCACCTTTAACGGCACAATAGTATCGCCAGTAGTCACCCTACTGCAGAGAGCTTCTTTTACTATTACCAATTGCATTTACATCTGGTACTACTTATTTTGTAAGTCTCCCTTAAAATTTGCTGAACTCTACACCAGACCCCTGGACTTTTTAAGCAGATGTTTGGTTTATTTATGGTGTTCTGCCCTCTGCCGCCCAAAATTTAAGAAACAAGTGCATCACTGCAGAGGACAGAACTTTCTGTGGTTTCATTTGCTGTTATCTCTTCAAGTACTTTATTCTCTGTCTTTTCCTTCATCCATTCTTTGTGTAGTAGAAGGCTAAGGTAGTTACTAGTAATACCTCAGTTAAAATGTAGCTCTATGCTACTCCTTCATAACTGGAAATTCATGCACAAGAATATTTCTGCTTGCCCCCTAAATTAGCTTCAATGTATTTCTGATTGCCTTATGGTTCAGAAACATAGCTGAATACTGCAGTGCATACAAGACACAAAACCTACAGCTTCCCACATGATTATGTTTTCTCAAATGTGATTTTTACATTTCAAACCAGATTACATGATCTATATGACTCATTCTTGAATACTGACAAAATGATTAGCTAGATGCAAAGGTCATTCAATCCATCCCCTGGATTTCAGGCAGTGCTACACCTAAGTCATCAAAGATAGATGGGTAGTTATTGATTCTGCAAGGAAAAAGATTCTTCAACTTCCCTCAATTAACCAGTTCTAGTGTATAATTATTCTTATAGTCAGGAAGTTCATGCATGTGTAATAGCTCGTTTTTGTCTCTTCAATCCATCTTTGTAATCATTGATCTATTTATGTGGCTATCGACCCTCTGTATTGTATGCAAGCTTGTGAGTCTGCATTTGTTTGTGCACTTTACAAGAGTTGATGGCTT